CCATATCCCCCATAGGCAGCAGCGGCGGCGGCGGCAGCAGCGTTCTTCTGTAGCGTGGCTATCGTTGCCGTCGTCGCGGCAGGCGCCGCAAATGGCACATAACTTGTCCCATAAACCCCGGCGGCGGGGATCCGCTGCACGTTGGGAGCCATGGTGTAGACTGGCGTGATGGGGCGGCCCTGGAAGGAAAGCACTGGGTTCAGACCTCAAAAAAAGTGCTTAAATTGCTGTAATATCCCGTTTCCACACCCTGAACTGCAAACCCCCTAGAAGGGAAGGTGGTAAGAGGAGGGTAGGCAGTGCGTGCCCTGTTGAATGAGAGTTATGCCATCATGGGGGGCCGTTCCCTCCCTACCAGATTTGGGTCCCCCATAGGGGGAGAGCATCTGTCCAAAGTACAGATGTCTAAGACAGGTCAGCTGAATGGCAGGGCTGTTGGGCGCTGTAACATCCTCGACAGCATCTCCTGAACGGGAGCAGGGCAAGAGGCCAAGATTTCCCCCCACCCTGGGAGGGCAGAGCAGGACGTATGGGAAGCAGGATGTATGGGAAGTGAGACTTACATGCTGAACTCACCTGGAAGGGGGGGGGCGTTGAGACGGCCGGGATTACAGCTGGCGCCGGGGGGTGACCAGACACATCAGGTGCATTAGAAGAGGGTTTCCAGGACCTCATCTCAAAGAGCTCTCCCTCCTGGCTGCACTAGCTCTCCCATGGTGGTCCTGTATGCTGGTGGGGGGCCTGGGGCACCCCCGCCCTCACCAATGGCAGGGATGGCCACTAGGAGAGACCAGACACATCAGGTGCATTAGAAGAGGGTTTCCAGGACCTCATCTCAAAGAGCTCTCCCTCCTGGCTGCACTAGCTCTCCCATGGTGGTCCTGTATGCTGGTGGGGGACCTGGGGCACCTCTGCCCTCCCCACGTGTGGGAGCACTGTGGCTGATGCACAGTGATGGGCTCGGTGCTGCCTGTTCTGCCCAGTATTTCCCCCCCACTCCCATCACAGCTGTCCCAGGGCCAGAGCCCTGCTGCAGACCAGGAGCTGCGACACAGATTTACACAGCCCCTTCTGACCACTGCTGTCCTCCCTACTGGCCATGAATGTGACCTGAGCACAGGGACAGATGGGAGTGCATACTGTCTCCATGGGGTCCCTGCTCCAGCCATTGAGATCAAGGGATGTATAGCTGCCATAGGCAGAGCTGCTATGGGAAAGAAAAGTGTGATTCGTACTGCAGAAGTTGCAGGCAGCAGCTGGTCCAGTCTATACGCCATCCTTTGGCCAACCCTGCAAAATATCAGCTCATTTACTATTGTGCATTTCCCAGGCCTAACTTGGCTAAATATGTTTATCCCATCCTTCTACTACAGAATCAATCTGTTTAATGACACTAAAAAAGAAATTGCTCTTTAGAGAATTCTCCCTTGAGCCAAAATTGGACAGTGCAAAGTAATTAGAGCTATGGTCTTCCAAATAAAGGGAAAACACTCCAGTCAGAATGATGGTGTTCAGAGATGGTAAGTTTGTACATGGTCCAAAATGGAGCTTCATGGTGCTGCTTAGGGAAGAAATGCTCTTTGCTGAACATTCCCAATAATCACAATAATTGGACGTGAGCTGGCAATGTGCATTTTCAGCCCAGAAAGCCAGTCATACCCTGGGCTGCATCAAAAGAAGCATGGTCAGAAGGTCAAGGGAGGTGACTCTCCTCTTCTCTGCTCTGGTGAGACCTCACCTGGAGCACTGGGTACAGCTCTGGAGTCCCCAGTACAAGAAAGGCATGGACCTGTTGGAGCGGGTCCAGAGGAGGGCCATGAGAATAATCAGAGGGCTGGAGCACCTCTCCTATGAAGAAAGGCTGAAGGAGTTGGGGTTGTTCAGCTTTGACAAGAGCAGGCTCCAGGGACACCTTATTGTGGCCTTTCAGTACTTAAAGGGGGCTTATAAGAAAGATAGAGACAGACTTTTTACCAAGGCCTGTAGTGACAGGACAAAGAGTAACAGTTCTAAACTGAAAGAGGGTAGACTTAGATTGAATATAAGGAAGAAATTCTTTACTGTGAGGATGGTGAGACACTAGAACAGGTTGCCCAGAGAAGTTGTGGATGCCCCATCACTGGATGTATTCAGGGTTCGATGGGCCTTTGAGCAACCTGACCTAGTGAAAGATGTCTCTGCCCATGGCAGTGGTGTTGGACTTTGAAGGTTCCCTCCAACCCAAACCACCCTATAATTCTGTGATGCTACAATTTCCGTCATTGCCTTACAGTGCACACTTCAGCGTTGAGCTCTTGAGACTTTCAGCAGTGAGGTTATTCACAAGGAAAACAGAATAATCAATAAGTGATGGTGATGTTGACATCTATGGGAGATGCAGCCAGTAAATCAGAAATTAAGCCAAATACACACATGGATTTCTTTCACTGGGATGAAACTTTCCAATGTGGAAGTGTGCAGTCCTGCCTGTGGAGAGGACAGGTGCCAGCAAGTGGTACTCTCATTTTGATCCTGGAGACTGCAATAAGGGATCTGATCAGATATCTTTCAGGCAGACATGTTTCCACCTCCAGTGATCTACCGCTGTTTCCTCAAGCAGAGACCTCCACCCATGAGCTTTTCCAGTTCTCCTTCTACACCAAGTCCACCTGGTCAGTTCAAACCAGTTTTATCACTCGTTCAGATAACCTGGATAATTTCTCACCGATGCAAAGACAGAGAGCTCATGTGTTCTGTTCTGCAGTAACTTCTGGCAGAAAAGCAGTAACAGGCAGCTGGGGTATTGGGGTGACCTCTCAGAAGTTTTCCAGCCATTTGCAAAGAAATGAGCTTTAAGGTTTTTCTAAATGGTAGGAAACTTTGCAGAGCTGGTACATCTCTAATCCTCCATTCTGGTAATGTGCTTTCAGGGTCAGACTCTTGTAATAACAGAGAGAAGTCTTGCATGTGGTACCTCTTACTAGATCATCTGATCTGGTAGGGCGAAATGGGCCAGGTGCTCCTGTGCTCAGAGGCTCTGCTGGAACCATGCGAGAGGAGAAGAGCGGATAAAGAAATCTGAATCTCAACATGCTTCAAGTGTAGAAACATTTCGACTTGAGCTTCAGGCTTGTGCTTGGCAGTCGAAATGAATTACAGCCATCGCTAATAGGCGTGCATTTCAAAGTCTGCTTTTCAAGCATCCTTTAGCACTGCCTGGAATTCCTGAAGTATTTTTACAAACATGCATAGTGGTAATATTTTCTGATTGTGAGTGGGTAGTTTTCTCAGAAAGTCTGATCTTCCTTTGGAAACAGCCCTAATGTTAACAGCCTTCCTTTGTCTCCAGACCTCTTCTTCTCACATTGTCTCTCAGCTGTTACGAAGAACTCTTCACAGCCTTCATTAGATGCAAGCTGTAGTTTCCACGGACAGTATGGAGCATGTTTTGGGAAACCACTGCAGCTCTATTATTAAACACCACTTAGGTCTTGCAGTTACAATTTACTTGGAGAGAGGAATGAGGAGATGACCTGAGGACTTCTGCGAGAGGGTTTGGTCCCACCACCTGCAAGGACCATCTTCCTCAGGCTGCTTTTCCAAATAAAAAAATATCTCTGAACAGGATCCTGAAGAATTGCAGGGCTTCAACCTTCATCCTGTTGACCTGGGAAGGGCAAGGGCTGGATACTCAGCTGAGGATGTGGCAGAAAGGGGTGATCCCGACTCTTGGGCTGGCTCCCTGCAGCCCAGCGCTGCTGAGAGGTCTCCTGCAGGTTACTGTGTGGCTGCAAGCCGGACCCCGAGGGCTCCCTGCATCAATCCTTCCCCATGCTGCTGATGGTGATGGAGGAGCTTGCCTCAGCCAGGGACTCCTCTGCAACGGGGAAGCCCCAGATCCTTTTCCCAGCTTCATAGCACTGGAGAAATATGAACTGAGCAGGCGAGAGCTCAGACTTGGCTGGAAATCCAGGGTGGGAACCACTCAGGGTGAAATTAGCAGTGAAGAAATTAAAAGAGAGGAAGATTGCTCTTAGTCACCATGCTCTGGTGCACATGACTAGGTGGAGAGGAAAGTCTGCTTCCTCCAGAGGAGGTGGACATAGCTTCAGCCCTTTTTCCTTTGGTCTGAAGAGCTCCCAGACATTTGTGTCCCCTGTCCTGCTGCATGCCTGTTGTTAGCAGAAAGCCTGGCCAGGGCTAGGAGGCATCTGGCACAGGGGAGCACTGAGCCCCAGCCCGGGGGCTGTCTCCACTGCCGCAGTGGTGGGCTGGAGGGGTGCCCCCACCCCTGACATGGAGCTCGGAGCGGGGGTTCGCCTGCCACCTCTGCTTTCCTCCCTTCATTGCACATACTAACCTGCACCGGGCTTAATGGCCACAGGATTGACCGCAGGTAGCTCCAAGTTGGGTACCAGCTCGTATCCTTTCTCCTGCTGTTTTCCTTTGCCTTCGTGGTACCTGCTGTAGATGCCACGGCCGGCGGAGTAGCCCCCCAGGTAGGAGCCCCTGGGGCCCGGGGCTCTGTTGCCAGCTGCACCTCGCCCTCTGCCGCGTATGCTGCCTGCTTATGATAACGACACAGAAAAGGGTGGTGAATAACAGAGAGCAACAGCCCCATGGGGGCATGAACAGCCCCAGGCTGAGACCGGTAGGCATGTGCTTAGAAATGAGGCAGCTGAAGTTAGTTTGATCTGAGTCTTAATGACTTTGCTTATGAAAACAGAAGAGTTTGGCCTTAGAAGCCCCCATTAAGACTACGCTGGTTTTGCTCTTGATGTTTCTGACCATACATGAACTGCTTATTTACACTGATGCAACTCTCGTGGCCAGTGTTTTGGGTATAACATACTCAGCGGAGAGAGAGGGGCTCCTCCAGGGGTGACTTCTATGCAGTAGGAACAGCTTCTGCTCTCAGCTGTCCTCCAGAGGAGACCCAGCCTCTCAGCGGCTGTGATGGGACCCTGCAGAGGTGGCCAGAAGTTGCACCTGGCCGTTAACCAACTTTATCCCACCATCGCATATATTTTTACTCGTGGTGTTTGTTTTCTCTGCTATTTTATTAGTAGTGTGAATATATCCCATCTCCAAGAATATTGCCTTTATTTATCTTAGTGACTCCACGCACGTTACGACAATACTTTGGACACAGCGGTATTAATGCACTCTGTGAGCAGTAGTGATGCACTCTGTGATGGCCTAATTGAATACTTAGGCTGTCAGTAAATTCCTTTGTAGTTCATTGCAAGTACAAATCTGGAAATTGAGAAGAAGCTGAAATTCTTGATCAAGTTTCTTGGTTTACGTGGGTGCTTTAAGAATATATTCATGCTAAACTGCCTGTTATATGGAAATAGACATTAAATTTCAGGAAACTACAAATTCTTTAAGTACAGGATAATTGTAATTATAACAGCAGTTACCGCTGCTAGGGGTTTTTTTACAAATAACTAATTTTCTTAATTTTTAATGACGGTGATAACTAATTAAAGTACACATAATAAAATAATTATTTTGCACTCACAATATTCCTTCTGCTCATAATTCTCAAAAGACTTTATAAAGGACACAGAACTATGGTCTTTTTAATGCAGAGGGCAAATGACACCTGGAGAGCTCCCAACTGAGGCTTCCCCTGACACCCGTTCAGGAGAAGGCACAGGGAGCACTCTGTCACAGTCCCTAATACTTTGGATCCACCTCTTTGGAAAGAGGCATCAGAAGCTGGAGTCCTTGGTCTTGCTCAGACTCAGTACAGCACTCATAAAGACCAGATCCCTCTCTTTCCCATGCTGTGCTCAGTCCATTAGCTCATTCCTAACCATAGTTTTGATGCCTCCCTCATACTAGCCTATACATTAGCAATTATTTATAGATAAATACACTCTGCATAGTCATAAATTAAAATGAGACCGAACAGAAATATGGTGTTTAAGGGTGTTTAAGAAAAAAGTGTGAAGCCCCAGATGTCCTTTGACTCAGGCAGACCTTGGGTTGCACCAGCCTGAGACCAAACCTGCCCATCACATCCCCTAATTGTGCTTACTAACCTTTCACAAAGTAATCTCTGTTGGGCCCGATCAAGGCATTGTATGGATATCCATAATACGCTAGTGTGTATGGATCACAAGAGTAAACATAATTAGGTTGCTGAGTTACTTCGGGCGTTGCTGCGGCCCCTCCTTTTGCTGCTTTCTGGTAGCGAGTGTATTGCTCCTTGTCTACTGGCTTGGCCAAGGTAACCTCCAAGCACGAGCCTTCCAGTTCAACACCATTAAGATTGTTCATGGCATGAATGGCATCTTCCCTGGTTGTAAAGTGCACAAAGGCATAATCACGTATTTTCTTCACCCGCTCTACACAGCCAGGGTTAAACTGCCCAAAGACCTTTTTAATGGTGTCCTCTGTGGTCTCAATCATTAAATTCCTCACATAGAGGATTTTAACAGTCTCCATGACATCTTCATCCACATCTATCTCTGGTTCCGCCCAGTCAACAGCAATTTGGTGTCCCCACAGCTGGATCCTTCCCGGCATGAGTTTCCTCCTGGCCATTGCTGCTGCTCGATGGCTCTCATACTCCACAAAGGCGAAGCCTCTGTTCTTCATCTTGTCTGCAGCACTGGCATACACGATGACATCCAGCACGCCTTCTGTCACCTTGGCGATCTCTTCCAGGATCTCCTCTCTCTTCTTCATCTTGGGAATGCCTCCGATGAAGAGCCGGCAGTTATCCACACTGCAGCACACACCCAGCAGCCTGCCGGGACGGATTTCGTAGTTGTTCAGCTCTCTGACGGCACGCTTTGCCTCGTGCTTTTGTGTGTACATCACGAAGGCATAGCCGCGGTTCTTCCCATCAAAGTCCATCATCAGACGCATTTCATAGATGCGGCCAATAGACTCGAACACAGGGACGAGCTCATCTTCGTAGACATCACGGGGGATTTTGCCCACAAAGACTTCACAGCCACGAGGAGGGTGCAGGCCCTCCCAGCCGGGAGGAGGGCCTCCGTACTTGCGTTGCCCATTCTCCTGGATCATGCTATATCCAGTGCGCTCCATGAGGGCCAGCAGAGCTGCCTCATTGGGTGCACCAGCAACGCCTTCAGGGACTTTCGTGGTAGCCACATTGGAGGAATCGTTGCTCATCCTTGCAGTGGAGTCCTCAGCAGTCATGGTGTCAAACTCATTCACAGCCTGATAAAACCTGGGGAAAGGAAGAAGGAGGACACTTGTTAGAAGCTGTCAGCTACCACCAGAATCCCACTCCTCTCTTGTCTTCCTGCAGTTGTTCTGCAAGTTAGTTTTTCAAACTTGGACTAAGGCTGCAGAAAAGCAGACAAATGAGCTATACCAGCCTCAGCATTTATATTGCAGGGGGAGAGCATCCTGGATGTAGGCAGAGCCCCTCTTTAAGGAGGGTGTGAGGATCACAGAATCACAGAATGGCAGGGGTTGGAAGGGACCTTGGGAGATCATCTAGTCCAACCCTCCCGCTAAAGCAAGTTCACCCAGAGCAGGTTGCACAGGACATCATCCAGGCGGGCTTTGAATATCTCCAGAGAAGGAGACTCCACAACCCCCCTGGGCAGCCTGTTCCAGTGCTCTGTCCACATGTCCATACCACCCCAGCACCGAGAACTGCTGCCACAGGAGGCTGAAGTCGCATGAAGGGATGCTACCAAGCACCTCAAAACCTTGAGACCCTAGGGAGGCTTGTCTCCTTTTTGAATGGGTAAGAAGGAGATGGCATGGGATTGGGAAAGGGAAGGTACTGCTATGGAGCCAGTGGTTCCCACCTCCAGAGCCCTCTCCGCCCTCTGAGTCATAACTTAGTTAATCCATCTACTCCTGAACAGCGCAAGTGCCAGGTGCCATACTTCACGGTGAAAGATGGCGAATGCATGAGAAGCGCCAGGCATGGGTCCCATTTGATGACAACCTCTTGCTCCTCTAGGCCTTCACAACAACAGTTGAGTAGGAAATAATAAATATGCTTTAACATTGGGGGACCAATTCTTGTTCTCTCATGCAAAGGGTGATCTGGCAAGCTCCTGAGTTTCCTGCTGCTTGTGGTACAATCTCTGACATGTTTGTCTCTTCTGTTATTACAACAGAACTTCAAAAAAGCTGAGGAGAATCACTCCCTTATGACAGGCAGCTTGCTTTAGAGCAATTGGACAGCACAGACCTGCAAGCCAACTAGGGGAAGGCAAATCTCTGAAACCTTATTCTTCATTTAAACACAGGCAGATGGGGGAAATGAAGATGTACAGGAGCAGATGACAATGCTAATGACTACAACTGCAAAAGAGTGGGCTTCCTCTCTGAGCACAGTTAAATAAGACACTGAGACTCTAAGAGTAGTTAATTAATTGACTTTTAAAACTGGAAAGGACCATCAGACCATTTAATATGAGTGATTACATATGACATGAACCATTGCATTTTATTTTTATTGGTACATTGACTCCTGTAGCATTTACCTGAGTAAATCATACCTTCCAGTAGGACCTTGATTTTAAGGTAACAAAGAGCTGAAGACCCTACCACTTCCCTTTATGTCTTATTTGCTAATCACTCCCTCAGACAAGCAAGCGTGCCATATTTCTTATGAGAATTTGTCTGGCTTTTGCTTCCAGCTAGGATTACTTGTTAAACCTTTCTCTGATAGATTAAAGAGTCTTTCAAGACCTCTGCTTTTGCGTTATGATGACATCTCAGTTGTGTAACCAAGACACAACTCTGTCTTTTTAATAAAACTTACAGGCTGAACTCCTGAATTCCTTCACAATCAGTCATTTTTCACCTAAAATAGTTTTTGTGGCTCTTTCAACAGTTCTGTAGAGTTTCAGACTTTTTCACCCTTGCTATATACAGGCATGAAGATCATCCCTCTTACTTCTCCCCATGTCTCTGTATTGCCAAGGCCTGTTTCTCCACACCTTCTCACTAGCAAACCATGTGGAGTTTTTTTTGTCAGTTCTAACCCCAAATCCTTTCCAGAAGCACCACTCACTGGGTGGCAGGCATGCCTTGTGTTTATTACTCCCAAATGCCACAACCTTGCGTTCAGCCCTACCCAACTGACTTTTGAGTAAATCCCATCTACTGAGTGCCACAGAATTGGCTCCTCCTCATTGTTTTTTACAACTCCATCAGCCTTTGCATCATCCACAAATTTATTTGCCATGGTTTGCATTCATGACCAGTTTGTTGATGGAACTATCATCAAAACCCCCTGCCTCCCCCAGTTAAAACAAAACCCCCCTCCCCCCCCCCCCCCCCCCCCCACACCTTCCCATAGGAAACTCTGCAAACCCCATAAGAATCTGGGTTTGAGAGGCTTATTTTCCAAAAAAAAGGACAAAGCTTCCACCATACTTATTTATTCTACATACTCATGTTATTCAGTGGGACATAGGTTTCTCTCTGTCCCCCCAGGACTGATATATACCCTTCGTTAGAACGATCTGGCCATTTTCAGTGCATTGGTTACCATGCAGGCAAGTCTTTCACTAGTACAGTAGACCCAAGTCCACAGAAATATGGGTGTAGAATTTAGGCAACTAAGTCCAATTTGTATGGTCCTCAAAACCCATTTAAATCCTAGTAACCTTAGAACCTCACAGCTCAGATTTTTTTCAGTAAAGCTCTGAGCTGCCCAGAATTGTACTAGAGATGTATCCAGAGATGCCTCTGTCCCAGCCAGGGCAAACACCACTGTGCTCAGCTCCTAAATGGGTTTGGGATTGGGAAACCAGACCTCTCAGCCTTGGTCTATGGTAAGGTCTGATCCTGCAGGTGTGTTTGGGTCACAGGTGTTGCATGCTGATGCTTCTGAGCCATTTTAATTTAAAAATATGGAGAGCAGAGGGGGAGGCAGAGAAGATGGAGGGCAGTAACAGTGATGCTGATGTCCAAGCAGTACTTAGAAAACATAATTTCTCTGAAGACATGTCTTTCACGGAATAGCATCAGTTTTAATAGCTTCTTGCTTTAAATGGTTGCTGATAAACATGTTTCTCCCAGATTCAAATGTTCCCCCTTTTTAAATTGTCAGTCAGACATTTTCATTTTACTCCTGGGAATTATTTGTCATAACTGAAAAGATTAAAGCAGAGAAAAACATTTTCATTTTTCGCTTGGCAATTTTTTCCTAAAAATTTCCCAGAATGAAAGCCAATCTTGTTAAACAAACACATTAGTGGGGAATAATCATTACCTTCACACGGGCCACCTATTGGTAAGTGAATTACTTATCGCCCCAGGTTTGGGTAAGTTTAGAAATGAGTCATTGCCACCCCTTTTAGGTCAGCTTACAAACTAAAAGTCTCTGTATTCTGTTATCTGCAGGGCTCAGTGGCTGGGGCTATAGGCTAGAAAGCTGCAGATGGGCACCGGGACTGTGGAGAGAGGAGAGATGGAGCAAAGCCTCCCCTGCCCACCAGAAACAAGCTGGTAAACCAGTGGCCATCCAGGAACTGGCATGTTCTCCAGCACTTTGCACTGCACCAGCAGGATGATTTCTAGTATTAGAAGTTGTCCTTGAAACTGCTGCTAAGAACTGATGGCCACCTTTGCTGCAAACACTACTTTACACAGTGTGTGATAGTGAATAATTAAAAATTTTTTGTGAACCTAAAATGCATTTTATCCCTACGTGATTTACAGGGAACCAAGATTCACGATCAAAGGTATTTAATTTTTTCTGTGCAGCTCCATAGAGCTGGGTTTCCTAAGTAGATACTACCTAAGACAATTATAGAGCCCATGTAGTCCTACTTGATGCAGCTAACACACACTTAACAGCGTTCACTGCCACATGACACAGTCAACACCTTCACCAAGTTCAGATATCTTCCTTGATGAGAAAAAAACCTTCAGGTGTGTCTGGTCCGAGCACTCTCTCCTCCTGTTGTTACCACCTTACAAAATGGGCTGCTGGCACAAAACCTATTCCTGTCAAAAAGCAATCACTATCAAGAAAATTGTTTTCAGAATTACCTATTCCCGAAGCGTTCAGTCCTTCTGGTGCAATTTTTAGCCCACAGTAAACTGGTTGTGAAAACTTGCTGCCATGTGTTGTAGGTGTACGCAGGGCAGGAGCTAATACTGTGGGTGTAGTGGGCTGAATAACGCCGGACTGATTTCAGTACATCCACCACGTGTGATTAATGCCAGAAGAGGCAAAAGTTTAAGCTGCATTAAAATGTAGCATCTTGTGAAATGTAGGTGCTTGATTTCTAGTCTCTGAAGGAGGAAGGTACATCTGATCTTGATGGCAAAGATTCATAACAGAGAAAGAGATAAAAATACTAATTCCTAATGAAAAAGGGTATGCTTTGGAGACAACTAAGTTTTAAATGACTAATTATCAGGACTGAAACAAGACTGGCTTCTTTGCTGCTCAGAAAAATCATTTCAAATCAAGCCTGCTTGATTTTTCAGTGCCATGTTAGATGGAGCCAGGCTTGCAAGCCCTTCGGTTCAGTGCCTCTGCTCCAAGGACCCTCCTCGGTGCAGGTGAACTCTCAGATGTACACGTGTCACTGAAACCATCCAAATTTCACTTCCCCTTGCTTACGAAACTCCTTTCCCACTGCCAATTGGGCGGGTGTAAATAGTTCTTGCCCTAAACATTAACTACCTTCTTTTTAACCTATCATTTTTTTGCATCACAGCTCAGGATATTAAATGGGAAACTTACTGGGTTGGCAATGACTGGCCTAAAGCAACTGTGAGCAGGCTGATTAACCAAGGCAGATCTTTTATTAAACAGGAATACCATGCCTTCATTAACAACAATGTGAGGCCAAACGCTGGTGTCCCTTGTGCAGGGGCAAAGGCAGCTCGGACCCCAGCCCACAGTCCCTATAGCTTCTTATCCCCGGGCTTGCCCGGCGCTGGGCAGTGCCCTGTGAAATTATGTGGCCACCTGCTCCTCTGTTGATCCTGGCGTGGTAAACCAGGCTTTTACAAACACGGGGACACAGTCGGTGTCCTTGCGGCAGCGACCACGTGTCCACCCCACTCACGTGCTCCTATGAAATGGGGTTGTTTATGTTTGCGCTTAATTCACCCCTCCAGTTTTGTGTTACGGAGACTTCGTGGCATCACGTGGCCTTCTGCGGGCCACACAGCCCCCGGCAGTCACATAGCACGGGGACGGGTGCCGGCACCACGGCAGGCAGCAGGAGAGCCCGG